ACACCTACTGCTTTGGTGACTCCATTCAGTCACCTCATTCTCTGTGATCCCCTTCTTCTTTTGCCCTCAATCTTTCCCAGCATTAGGCTCTTCTCTGGTGAGTCCTTTCTTCTCATTAGGTAGCCAAAGTATTATTAGTAGTAGTATTGTTATTATTATGAGTAGCTTAATATCTAATCTGGATGAAACTATGGTTTCTTATGATGCCACTCTTCACCTCCATTCCCACAACTGAAGCTGTCATGGTAGTGAAGAAACAACTGCTTATGAGACATTAAGTCACATTACGTGAGAGAACTAACCTCAGCTTAGACCACAGATATGTCATCTTGGATCTCTGTCTGACCACTATCTATTTGAAATACAATGACGGTTTCCACAAACAAAAACACGGCTATGCCATAGGTTCATCTGTGTCCCCCACTGTGGCCAACCTCTACAAGGAAGAAACCAAAGCCCTAAACTCCTTCATAGGAATTTCACCCATTCATTGGTATAGGTATAGGGACGATACTTAGGTCAAGATTAAAACAGCAAATGGAAGCCTTCAACAAACTCATAACATCGTGGACAGGTACATTAAGTTCCCATAGGAAGATGTTAAGCAAAATAGTTGTAAAATGGGGCAAAATTCATTTAACAACTGTTTCGCTTAAAAACAGAAATTTTGGGCTCAATTATGGTCTGTCTTTATAATCTCTGAACTCCTCATAGTTTGAGAAGCATCCTTGAGGTACTGCTGTATGAGGATTCATTAAATCTACTCCTTTCTTATTTGGGTTTGTACAATGAATCCTTTACATTTGAATCAATATACTTGGTTCAAAATGTATTTGAGGTAAATCCTTTTAAATATCTCAGAGAAATTTAAGGTATTCATTTAAGTATCTCATAGGTGTCGGATTATTTATTTTTATTCTGTTTGTACCACAGGGTTCCAAATATAATTTTACAAATTTTTCAAATGCGATAGACAGACACTACTTACCGTTCCCACCAGTGGATAAATAAATCCAGCTCCAATACTGGCTCTCACGTCGCTGATAGGCAAAACAAACCCAGTGGGAACACCTTTCTTCTCAGGCATGTGGGAAAGGGACAGGTGGGTTTTTGCCATACAAATGGGCAAGTTCCCAAATCCCTGCCAAGAAAGAAATGAGAAAGAGATAGAATGTATCTATACCACACTGAAATAACAACAGTTTCCTCTCCAAGGTTTTGCATGCTGTACAATAAACAAAGCTAAATTTTATTACCAGTACATTGCTGACTTCTAGGAATAAGTCTTTGGCTCAAGCTTCAATAGATTGTGGCAAGGTGTTATAAGTATACATCTTAATTAATAATAATTTCTTCAAGGCTCAGTACAGATCACAGAGAGCAATTGTAACATCTTATCCAGTAATTCAACAATTTGCAGCTCAATAGTCAAACCAATAAACAATGTATTAATATTGAGACAAACCAAACAGAACTGCATATGCTTAAAATGATACTCTCTGATGTGACAGAACACATATGCATCCATAATTAAAAGGGACTAATCTAAGAATTGCTGAGATTAATTAGAGGAAAGGAGGATAACAAGTCCTTCCACTCACCTGGCAACTAAATATAAAGTTATATATGGTAAATCATTTTTAAAGTTTTTGAATTTTCACAGGGATGAAGGGAAGGAGGGAATTAAGACTAGAGTCTCAAGGCCTAGAGACTTGAATTCTGGAGTGACAAACAGAAAGAGAGTACTCTGAAGGTAGTAGAGAACAAAGTAGGGAACAAATAGAATTGCAGGAAGTACTCAGGACAACATCAGGAAGACCATGGGACCATACAGATACAGATTAACAGAGTTGGAAGGGACCTTGTAAGTCATCTAGTCTTACCCCCCACCCTACTCCATTTCTGTCAAATGGCAGTCCAGTCTCTTCTTGAAAGCTGCCAGTGATGAAGCTCCCACAACTTCTGAAGGGAAATTGTTCCATTGGTTGATTGCTTTCACTGTCAGAAAGTTTCTCCTTATTTCCAGGTTGAACCTCTCCTTGTCCAGTTTCCATCTATTATTCCTTGTCTGGCCTTCAGTTGCCTTTGAAAATAGCTTGACCCACTCCTCTCTGTGGCAACCCCTCTAACATTGGAACACTGCTATCATGCCTCCCCTGGTCCTTCTCTTCACTAGACTAGCCATGCCCAGTTCCTGCAACCGTTCATTGTATGTTTTAGCCTCCAGTCCCCTAATCATTCTGCTTGTTCTTCTCTGTACTCTTTAGAGAGCCGAATGCCCTGAACATAAGCATCAGCCATAGGCTCTTGTTCAAATAGGGAGCCAGGACAGAGCCTTGTGGAATGCTGAGATATGAAAGTGGCATAGAAGGTCCAATGCTCTTTTCTAGTCATTTAACCAGGAGCGTTTCCTTTCTCAGGGCTCCACAAATTCGTGATTGTGGGGCCAGGCAGCATTGTGGTTCAGAAACACCTTGGTGATATTACCGTATATACTCGAGTATAGGCCGACCCGAATATAAGCCGAGGCACCTAATT